TATAGTAGGATAGTAGGAACTCGAGTAAAGGCTAACGTTACCTTTCGTTAACCGCGAATGAAAATCTCTCGTGAGAAAAGCACCACCAAGAAATTGAAACAATATTTTACAAGTACTATCTACCAAAAGTAATATACTATCTATTATCTTACCTTCTACAATCTCCTTTTATACTTTTCTATCTCTCTTTTTTTTTTTTCTTTAATCCTTTTATTACATCTTTTTTACTCAATGTCTTTCCTAGAATATGGCAAAGTTCGTCGGTGTTAGTTATCCTTTAATTGCGATTTAAATTAGTCGTAGTATTCTACAAGCTTGTCCATTTTATTAGTATTCCTTCGTACCTTTCTCTTATTCTTATTCCTTATTTCTTATCTTATCCTATCTTCTACCCAAATTTTCTCTCATTTTCTTTCTCTTGTTTCTCTCTTTCTCTCTCTCTCTCTCTCTCTTTCTCTCTTTTTCTGTTCGTCTTTCTTCATCTTTCAACAACCCTATTTCTCGTCGAGAAAATACGGTAGTAAAATTACGTGACATTTCCGAAAGAAGAAGCATCGTTTAATCTCATGAAATTAGCGACTGTTACCTCTTGACTCGACATTTTCATTGCTCTTATATGTATTCGTTCGTCGCGGGTGTTACTTTAGAGATAATTAATACCATATACTAACGTCAATATATGTATGTATATGCATATATACATAGAAGATGCGTCAACTAACTTTATTACGTGGTAATATATTTCCCTTATTTTTGATTACGCTATTAAAATATTTGGAACGATGCCACGTGATTTTCAAAAATTTATACTACGACAGGAAATATTCTTTCTCATCTCATTGTCAGTTATTTTTTATGTAAATGATAACTTACGTTGAATATGAGACTTAATTAATTTTTGATATCATTCTAAATCAACCAAAAAAAGAAGAGAAGAAAAAAATATTAGAATAAAATATGTAGAATTTTTTTCAATGTTAAAACATGTGTTTTATAATTCATTTAACTTTAATAAGAGTCAAAACTTGATTTATTAATACTAAAAGTTATTATTTATTAAACACTAGTTAGAGAAGAAGAAAAAAGGGTAGATGTAAAGTTTTAATTACGAATTAAAAATAGAAACACATTTCATTACGAGAATGTTAAGTTTTCTTTGTATAGAATACTTGTACAGGTACGTGTCAAAACAAATTCGTATTTTGCCAATTGGACACAATTGAAAATAACGAATCCATCCAAGTGCTAGTCGTTTGATCGTACTTCCTTTAGCAAATACATTTAGATTGAACCGAATCGTGTGAGTTTTCTCATTCGTATGTACACATATATAAATGTATTGGTACATATGCACGTGGAGACTGTTACCAATGAATATCAAGAATAATCAAATGGCCATTAGTTATGCAACGCCACGGCATATAAATCCCAGTGGGAAGAGCTTTGTCGAATTACAATGCAAATAATACGCGGCATTTGACCAATCCCGAGTATAACGATGCCATTGAAACCTTCTCCAAACTGATGATAAAGTGCATACATGTAATAGGTATATCCCACTCCCCACCTACTCTCTGTTAGTATATGCACGTATGTGTGCATATCGGTACATATCCATGGTGCTGCTCACCTCTCGACATTTTAATTCAATCCAAAACATGACCTGTCGTCACTAACAAGTTTTTCCTTACTTGAAAACATATAAAAAAAAAAAAAAAACATATTCCTTTAAATGGATAAATTATTATGTAAGAAAGAAAGAGAGAGAGAGAGAGAGAGAGAGAGAGAGAGAGATACAAAAATAAAATAAAAGAAAGAATAAGAAAATTTCAATATGAAATAGAACGATAAACATAATATTCATGAAGTTTTCGACGTCTTGTCGCTTTTCAAACATATAACCGAAGATGGAAGATATTTTCTTCTATGGGAAAATATAGTAGAATCACTGTATATAAAAATGTTAACTCTTCGAAACGCTTTTATCAATGTTATTTTTCAAAGTACGCAGGTAATTGGAATAAATCCTTTTTTTTCTTTCTCTCTCTCTCTCTCTCTCTCTCTCTCTCTCTCTCTCTCCTTTTCGAATACGTTCTTTTTAAAAAGACCAATGGAAAAAACGAAATGAGATCGTAAATTGTATACCACTATATGGTGATATTCAACGAAAAATTTGTTCGAAACTTTTCAAATCCATTTTTATTCCCTAGAAAATATTGTATGCATACATGCATGCATGCATTTGCGCTTTCGTAATATATATTTTCTTGTTTTTTTTTTTTCTTTCATGCAAATAATATACTTAATGTAGATATACGTAAGCAAGGTCAGATAAAATATTTTTTTCATAATTTCTAACAAAATTAACGTCATTTAAATACTCATTAAAGTAATAATGAAGTGAAAAACTGAAAAACTAAAAGACTAAGCCCCTTGTTTTTTTCTGATTTATTATGTTTCAGTTCAAGGACAAGCTAATCTCCTGAGGCCATCCGCGTGTCTACTGTTGTTGACCCTTTTCTCGCTACAACGATTATTGCTGCCTCTTTAGACACCCTAGAAAAAAAAGAAAAAATAAGAGAGAAAAAAAGAGGGATAAGAATTTCCTAAGACTTTCTTTTGTCCTTTCTCTCGTTCTCCTCTTTCGTCTCGCATTTTTTCCCCCTAGCCTTAAAAAGAAGAGAGAGAAAAAAATAAAAAGAAAAAGAGAGAGAAAAGAGAAAGGGTGAAAAGGGTGAGAAAGATTAAGATTGGAATAAAATAAAGAACGTATTTAATAAAAAAAGAAGAAATAAAGAGGACTAGAGGAATAAAACGAAACATTTTGAGTTTCGTGACGAAAGACAATCACATCGTCGATACTGCTCGATGATGATGGATGATGGATAATTAATAATGGTCGGCAAGGAACAGGGAAACGTTGTGGGGGAAATAGTTTTCAATTAATTAATTAATCGTTGACTGTACAGTCTCGCATCTCGCGAAAAAAGAGTATGCTAAGTATCTCTTCTACACAATTGTTGTTTTTTCACGGGTAACACCCGTTATAAATATACAGATTGCGCGTAGATAGTCAATTGTGCGAAAAACGAAAGGGTAAAAATTAAAAACAAAAAGGAAGCGGAAGGGGTGAGAATAAAAGAAAAAAACAAAATATCGACTCGCATAAAAGAGGTGCATTGAACTTGAATAACGCACAAGAGAAAAAAAAAAGGGAAAGGAAAACGGGAATGGAAGATAAATAAAAAAAAAAGGATAGATATATGTATATCTATATATATATATATATATATTTAAATCCTTTAACGTCATTTGTAATTGAGCACCGATTGTAAACGAATAATAATCGAACAACCAACACAAATATAATTACCCAAAGATTCAATAGAATTTAATTCTATTCGAAAGAATCAATTGTATAATTATTTACGATAAAAAAAAAATAAAATACAATTTCTTCGTTTATCTTATCGTCAAATGAAATGTGCAATATTTCTAAAATGCAATAAAGTGAAAGTCATGATAACTGCCATCGAAAACAAAATAAAATACCAAAATGTTGTTGAAGTTTTGGGATGTTTCTTCGAAGACATGAATCTTCTTACTTTTACAACGATGGAAGTGAAAATCGGGGGTGAGAGTGTGGGTGGGGGTTAGAGGGATAAAGGAACCACGAAGTATAGAGAACGAAAGAAGAGTACGTTTGAAAAAGGAAAATCCAACATTGATTCTTCGAGAAAGAAAGAAAGAAATAAGAGAAGAGAGTAGAGAGAAGAGAAATAAGGGTAAAAGCTTCGAATCGGAAAAAGCTGCGGCACTTTTATTTTCCACTACGAGTATATCACAGAGAGTGCTATTCGTTCTCGTCTTGTCGTAGTGTTTCCATTTCGACGAACGCATTACTATGAGAGCGAACGTTATCGCTGCCTAGCTAGGTATGTAGAAAAAAAAAAAGGAACAAAAAAAGGAACGAAAAGGAAAAAAGGGGGACAAAGTTCACGCGCCGTCGTGATCCTTTGCCACGATAAAATTAGCTCGTTACTCAAACCCGCGTCTCGTTCGTTCGTTCGTTCGTTCCTACAAACGTGTGGTTCGTTTTTTCTTTCTTTCTCTCTATCTCTCTCTCTCTCTCAAAAAAAAACGAAAATGAATCATTGGGGGACGGGGGAGAACGTCGTTTTTTTAAGATTATTTTTTTTCTATGCTTCAAGAACGTGTTTCATAGATCGTCCAGCTTAGCTTCTCGATCGAAACGCAATCTGACAAATTTGATATTCTCTCTTGATGAGAGAGAGATGGAAATCAAACTAGACTAGATTACTTATTACACTGCTTGTAAATCGTAAGATAAATTTCTTCTCTCGGATATTTCGTCAAAATAATACAAGTATCGCGGATAAAAAAAAAAAAGAAAAAAAACAAGGAAAAGAAAAGGTTGAGTTTGCTGATTAAATTTCAACAAAATGAAGAAGAAAATTAAAAATAAATTTCCAAAAAAAAATAAGTTACAAGAGTGAAGGAGAAGAAGAAGAAGAAGAAGAAGAAGAAGAAGAAGAAGAAGAAAAAGAAGGAGGAGAAGTTTTAACGTACACAAAACATAAAGTTCGAGTAAGCGTAGAAGGTTGGAGGGACTTTTTTCTTCCGCAACCCAAGACTGGAAAGAAGAAGAAGAATAAGAAGAAGAAAAAACGAAGAAGTCGTAGACGAGAAAATGTATATAGCAAGAATCGCGTTACGCAGTAAACGAAGGAACGAAGGAACGAACGAAGAGTAGACGATACGAAGGAAAAAGTTCTTCTTCTTCTTCTTCTTCTTCTTCTTCCTCTTCCTCTTACTCTTCTTGGAAAGGTCCAAGTGAGAAGAAGTTCGGTGTTACGTAGCATTTATAAAACTTTCCGAATGCCACTTGTCCACCGAGGCGAAACTTAAGATCGTTTCCCATGGAAACGCCTTATGCCGAGACTACTAGTTCTCTCTAGGTTCTCTTCAATACTATTGGACGAGTAATAGTAGTAGTAGTAGTAGTCGTCAGCCATGCTTATCTCCACACGACAACGAATAGGAAGGAATGAATGGTTGTGGTGGTGATGGTGGTGGTTGTTGTTGTTCTGCTTGGAGAACAATGGAAACCATCAAAACGTGGTTCGACCAACTCGACTTTGGGGAGATCCGTGGTCTTCTCTGAAACAAATACACCATACACACAAACACATGCACACACGTATATTACGCACTATAGAGACACATAGTAACATTCGTTATAATGAGTTCTTAACTCGAAGGTACGTTTGATAATCTCAGATCGTATCGAATAAAAAGACACATTTTGACCTACAACAACGAACAACAACATCCATCCTATAAACTGAAAACTTGGTATGATCTTAAACACGATAAACCAAACCTAACAACGTTCTCTCTCGCCAACTTCTTTTTCAAACCCAAAAGATTAAAATCGCGAAAAGAAGTTTATTTCAGAAAAGTCGATTTATAAAAGGTTGACTATCTCGTGTCTGACCTAGCTCGAGACGTTATCAAATCGTTCTATTTAACTGACAGTAGCCTTGTGAACACGTTCGTATAAATCGGTTATGTTCGCAGAGTAACCGATCTTTCTACAGAGCAAACTCAAATCTTCCTACCATGATAGACGCTACTATATATATATATAAAGACGGCACTCGATAATAAACCTTACACACACACACATACACACGTACGAATACACACGCTTACATCTATACATAGATATATAGATGTGACGCGTGATATAGCACGCGACATATCAGAAACGTAGACCGTAATATGCGGTCGTCCTTCCATTATAGTATGCTTCCTCTACCCTATAGTCTGGCCTATCATCCTTGCTGAAGAGAAGAGAAGAGAAGAGAGACATCGCATCATCGTTAGACTAGACGCATCAAGAAACCACTTTGTCGGTTCCTCCTTTCCGTCTAAAAGCAACATCTCTTTAGGCTGGTTTCTCGAAGAACCGAACCGAACCAAACTGATAAAGTAGGTATCGTTTTATGCATATAGTTTCTCAGAGGGTGGGCAGGTGGTTACAAGGGGGAAAGTAGAGAAGTCTGACACGCGTTCAAACCAACCTTTCCTACATCTTCCAACGTTTTACCTCGAGAAAAGGGGGCCTGAAAAAAAAGAAAAATAAGAGAACCAGGTGAAAAATCGAATCGTCATTCGAGCCTTTCTAGTCGCGATAGCTACTAAGAGCCTCTCATCCGACACGCTCGAAGATAAAAGTAAAGCGACGTGGTATGAGCTTAGAGGTGGGAGTGGGGGATTACAGAAGGGGGAAAAGAATCGCGAGTGAACTGTGAGAAAGATGTGAGGAGGGAGAGAAAGAAAGAATCGAAAGCAAAAGAGCAAAACGCGAGAGAAGGGACATTAAAGGGAATCGTGGGATGTCGAAGGGAGTTAAGGGGTGTAAAAGGGGTGATAGAGGTTTGGTAGGTTTGAACGAAAGAAAAGAAAAATTCTCTCACTAACGCTTTGTCCTTGAGAAAGCTCATTCGAGCGAGAGCAAGCAAAGGCAAGTAACCCATCCAGACTTCTCGCATCCAACTTTTCTATTTTCAACACCTACTTTTTTATCTCTTGCACTTGCCCACTTTTTCATTTTCCTTTTTTCTTTTTCTTTTATCTCTGTCACTCGAGCTCTTTTCTTTTTCTCTCCTGTTTTTGGGTTACTTGCTTATTTTTTTTTTTCTTTCTTTCGACTTCTATCCTCAGGTTCAACTAAATCGTTTTCGAAATCTCATTTACACTATCAGGATCTACGAAGGATTGCTATTGTTTTTATTTTTCTATCTCAATTTTCACGTTTTTTCCTTTATTTCATAAAATAATCTTTCATTGATACGTCATCTTCGTTGCTAATTAAATAAATGCATTATCGTCCAGGTGTGTGTTATTTTCTTTTTCTCTTCGATTCTATTCGTTAAATAATAAAATGATGTTTGTTTCGATACATGTGTCGTAACGATCGGTGCGATATTTTTCTTCTCTCTTTCGTCTATTTTCTTCTCGAAACAAAACAAAAAAAAAGAAAAAAAAACGATAAATTTTAAATAAAATCCATATTAAAAAATATTTTTCGTTAACTCTTTTCCAGAGTCGAAATTTATTCCAACGAATGTTTTAACACGTGAACGAGTTACACCAGTGTTACGTCAACACGAGGCAAGATTTCATAGACACGTAGTGCCTCCTGACGAAAAAAATAAATAAAAAGAAACCCACCCCCAAGATACAAAAGAAAAACAAAAAGAAATTAAAACGACGAAGAATCGTTTTTTGTTTTTTCGAAATCTTCCACCCACCAACCTCCTCGTCATTTTTCAATCGCCAAACGAGAAATTCAAATTATTATCGTGTCCCCTTTTTTGTCTATCATTTATTTTTTTCTTTTTGTATTTTTTCTTATTATTTCTCTTCTAATAAATTTTCCTTCGAAAAACATTCCAACGAGTAACGGAATCGATATCCATTCCAGAGAGAATCGTTCGTCATCATTCGATATATATATATATATATATGTCGTCGCGATCACGAATATTTAGTCACGCGTTCAGGTTCTCACGATTTCTTCCTTCGTTATATAACGCGAAAGATATACGAATATTAAAATAAAAAAATAAAAATACACATATATACATCACATATCACGTATCATCCCTGTTGGTATACGTAAGATAGATAGACGCAACGCACTTCTTTTTTCCTTTATTTTTAATTTTTGTTTCATTTTTTTTTTTTTATTATTATTATTTTTTCTTTTACCTCGGACGATGGCCCCGAGGCCGTGAAATCGTCGACATTCCTAGTCGAGATAACATGAAATGTTCAAATCACCGACTAAACAAAAAAAAATCTCCACGAGACATTTGTATAAACATTGTACATACATACATACATAGATACATACATACATACAAACGTACATATGCATATATACCTATGTAAGCTGTGTGTGTGTATATGAGAGAAAGAGAGAAAGAGAGAACGAGAGAAAGAGATAGAAAGACAGGTGAGAATACGTGCAATGAACCAAGAGAAAAAAACGTTTTGTATTGCGATACGTTAACGTGGGAGCGAATTTCAAAGAACCTTTTGTGCTTTCGATGGTCCATTAAAAGAATGAAAACAAAAATGATGCGTCGTTCTCGTCCTCGTCGTTCGTGTATATATATACATATATATACATATCCATATCATATACATACATATACATACGTGCATACGTATATCAAAATATAGCTCGTTGGTGATATCTTCCTGTTCCTTGTTTCTCCTCCTCCTTCTCCCTTTCCCTCTCCTCTTCTCATTCTACTTCATTACCTTCGTTCGAGTAACGAAAGATGATATTATTATTTTGCTATCGAACGTGATCGAGTAAAAAAACCTCGAAAAAATCTTTCCACGTCTCGTACGTTCGCACCCCACACGAGGTTTAGCTGTAAATGAATGAAATGAAATTAAATGAAATGAAATGAAAAGAAAAAAGCAAGAAAAAAAAAACAAGAAATATAAAATATAAAAATAAGAAAATATAAATATAAATATAAGTAAATATAAACAAAAACCAAAATACTACTCAGTGTTTAGCCTTCAGTTGTTACAAAGCTTCCGATACACACGTTACAATTTAAGGAAAACTAAACGTTGAAACAACGGGATAATATTAAATAATTGAGATTGTTTATGTGTGTATGTGGGTCGTCGCCAGTAACATACATACATATATACAAATATACAGAGATAAAAGCGCGCGTTACAGGCATATACATGCAAACAGTTAAACCACAATAAATGCATAATAAACATTGTTTAACTCTCTCGTGGATCACTGTTCAAACGAGAAGCTTTTCGTCGAGTCGAAAACCGGGCAACAACACATAACAACCTACTACTACATATGTACCTATACCTTACTTGTGCATACACATATAAATACATATATACCTAATACCGTAATATAAATAAATAACAAAACAATAACAACAACAACAAACAACATTCTCACAGCTCGAAGAAACTTTTCTCGCGTGCACTTTATTAAAATATCTGATGAAAATAGAAATTTGACGCGAAAGAGTTTAAAGAGAATGTGTATGTGTGTGTGTGTGTGTGTGAGAGAGAGAGAATGAGAGAGAAAGAAAGAAAATAAAAAAAAATGTGAGAAAGAATATATGAAGAAACAAAATAACGAAAAAAAAAAGAAAAAAAATAGAAATTAATAAACGAAAATAACAAAACAAAAAAAAATGAACAGGATTATGTACTTATGTGTATGGCCTAATGTATATATTTCGCATATTTAGTAATAAATCATATTTCATTAATTCTCGATTACTTTATTAATAACTACCCGCCCCCCCCCTTCCCACT